AGTGGCTTACAACCATCTATATCGCATCTTCTGAACCACCAGGCATGCACATGGTGCAAATACATACATACACGGGGGCAAAATATGCATACATATGAAATAATATTTTTGTTTGTGTTTTGTTTTTTTTGTTGTTTGTTTGTTTTTCGAGACAGGGTTTCTCTGTGTAGCTTTGCGCCTCTCCTGGAACTCACTTGGTAGGCCAGGCTGGCCTCGAACTCACAGAGATCCGCCTGGCTCTGCCTCCCAAGTGCTGGGATTAGAGACAGGTTTTTTCTGTGTAGCCCTGGTTGTCCTAGAACTCACTCTGTAGCCCAGGCTGGTCTCTAGTTCAGAGAGATCCGCCTGCCTCTGCCTCCCAAGTACTAAAATTAAAGTCGTGCGCCACCACCTGGTAAATGCTTTTTAATTAAAAATGTCCGGGCGGTGGTGGCGCACGCCTTTAATCCCAGCACTCGGGAGGCAGAGCCAGGCGGATCTCTGTGAGTTCGAGGCCAGCCTGGGCTACCAAGTGAGTCCCAGGAAAGGTGCAAAGCTACACAGAGAAACCCTGTCTCGAAAAACCAAATAAATAAATAAATAAATAAATAAATAAATAAATAAATAAATAAATAAATAAATAAATAAAAAATAAAGTAACAGAGGGCCAGAGAATAATGGCCAAGCCTGATGACCTGAGTTCAGTCCCTAGGACTCACATAGTAGAGTGAATAGACTACGACAAAATATGTTTTAAATTCCGAATGTGCTCTATGATGCATGCCCCTCCCCACAAAAAAAAAAAAAAAAAAAAGTAATACATTTTAAAAAGTTAATAAATAGCCTGGCGGTGGTGGCGCACGCCTTTAATCCCAGCACTTGGGAGGCAGAGCCAGGCGGATCTCTGTGAGTTCGAGGCCAGCCTGGTCTCCAAAGCGAGTTCCAGGAAAGGCGCAAAGCTACACAGAGAAACCCTGTCTCGAAAAACCAAAAAAAAAAAAAAAAAGTAAATAAATAAAACCCTAACCCACCAGTCATCGTGGCACAGGCCTTTAATCCCAGCACTGGGGAGGCAGAGGCAAGAAGGTCTCTTCTTTTGAGTTCAAGGCCAGCTGGTCTCCACATTTCCAGCCAAGGATCTATGGTAAGACTGTCTCAAAATAAAATAAAGAGGCATTTCCAATAAATAGGGCAGCCCAAAATCAGGCACTTAAGAACTACTGCTCACAAAACATAAATAGTCAGCTATAAAATGACATGTGAGAAAAATGCTGTAATTTGTAGGACACAGTAGCTCACACTATAATCTAAGCACTTGAGAGGCTGAGACTGGAGGACCGTTATGGGAGTAAGAGGCCGGCTCCTGCTCTATACAGCTCCAGGCCAATCTGGGTACTAAGTGTGACCCTATCTCAAAAACTACAGACATGTTTTTGCAGGTGAAAGGTGCTTGCTGCCAAGGCTGATTGATAACTGTAGCTCCATCCCTAGAACGTACATGGTGGAAGGAAAGAACCAACTCCTCCAAGTTGTCCTCTGACCTCCACATGTGTGCTGTCTCACATCTGTACACACACACACACACAAAAATAAATGTAAACAACAAAAAGCTATCTATACTATCCTTTTCCTGGTAGGTTTTCCTAAATCCATATATCCCTTGACAAGAGATCAGCTGCAGAGCCAAGAATGATGGCCATGGCTAAAATACAATGCAAATGGTACCCCAGATGCCACAGCACTCAAATTCTTGTTGGCCTGCTATCTTACCACTCACTTTTTCCCCTTATCTATCACAGAGAAAATCTCCCCAAACTACTCGACATTCTCACAACCTAAAGAAGTCTACTGACATAAAGAGGGAAACCATCTCTACATAAAACATCTCTACCAGTGTGTGGTGTTTTTCTCCCCAAGACAAGGTTTCTTTATATAACAGTCCTGAATGTCCTGGAACTTGCTCTGTAGGCCAGGCTGGCCTCAAACTCAAAGAGATCCTCCCGCCTCTATCTCCTGAGTATTCGGATTAAAGGCGTGTGCCATCACCGCCCAGCATCTACCTAAAAAAAAAGGCTCTACCACTTTTAATGGTACTGATACATTTAAAAACAAAAAAGAAGCAGTGCCCCAGCACTTGGGAGGCAGAGGCAGGCATATCTCTTTTTGAGGCCAGCCTGGTCTACAAAGTGAGTTCCTGGACAACCAGGACTGTTACACAGAGAAACCTTGTCTGAATACAAAAAATAAACAAACAAACAAAGACAAGCTCAGTGTGGTGGGCTAGTGGATCCTTTAATCCCCAGCACTCAGGAGACAGACGCAGGAGAATCTTGGTGACTTTACTACTAGCCTGGCCTATGTAGTGAGACCTCATCTCAAAAATAAAGATAGATAGATAGATAGATAGATAGATTAGATAGATAGATAGATAAAGGAGCAAGAGAGATGGATGGATGGATGGATGGAGGATAGATAGATAGATAGATAGATAGATAGATAGTCAGAGACAGACAGACAGACAGACAGACAGGAGAGATGACTCAGTAGTTAAAAGCACTAGATGCTCTTGCCTGGGTTCAAGACCCAGCATCCACATGGCAGCTCAAAACCACCTGTAACTCCAGTTTCAGGAGATTCAGTGCCCTCTTCTGGCCTCCAGAGCCACTGGGCATGCAAGTGGTATAGATACACACAATGGCAAAACAACCATACACATTAAAAAAATTAAAGGAAAAAACCCAACAACCCCCACCCCAAACTATCATGATTAAATTAGCCCTTTCCTTTTCAGTCTCCAATCTCAGTATGGTGATTGGCTGAGTAGGGCAAGGCTTGCCTAGCATGCATAAAGCCCCAGGTTTGATGCCCAGCACTACACAAACCTGGGTGAGGCCAAGCTGCTGACCCCAGCATTGAGGTGGAGACAGAAGGATCACAAGGTCAAGTTCAGGCTTAGCTACAAAGTGAGTTCAAAGTCATCCTGTGCAACATGAGACCCTATCTTTTTTTTTTTTTTTTTTTGGTTTTCTAAGACAGGGTTTCTCTGTGTAGTCCTGGTTGGCACTCTGTAGACCTGGCTGGCCTTTAACTCAAGAGATTCACCTACCTCTGCCTCCCAAGTACTGTAAAGGCGTATGTCACCACCTCCAGATAAGACCCTACCTTAAAAAATAAAGTAAAAAAGAGCTGTGGAGACAGCTCAGCAGAAAAGGCTGATTGCCATCAGGCCTGACTTGAGTTCAATCCCCAGAATCCACATGATAGGGAGATCCAACTCCCTCAAGTTGTCCTCTGACTTTGGTATGAATACAAACATACACAAAATAGATACAAAATATAAATTCAAAAATTTACAAAAAAATATAAAAGATTTCTAGAGCCAGGCGGATCTCTGTGAGTTCGAGGCCAGCCTGGGCTACCAAGTGAGTCCCAGGAAAGGCGCAAAGCTACACAGAGAAACCCTGTCTCGAAAAACCAAAAAAAAAAAAAAAAACAAAAACAAAAACAAAAACAAAAAAAAAAAAAAAAAACAAAAGGAGTTATTGGAATAGGAGATGTTAACAATGGGGCAAGCACTCTTGCACTAAAGCTTTGTCCCTCTACCCAGCCATTTATAGTGTTTCCAACCATCCAAAGGTAAAGGTGTCATGACCTTGAGAATATGGTTTTGACTGACATGGTGAGGACCACGGGTTTATATTACTTGCAATTTTATCTAGTGTTTGTGTGTTTATGAAGGTGCACAGATGTGTGTTGATGCCTGTGAACAGAGGCCAGAGGACAACCTCGGGTGTCATTACACAGGGGCCATCTACTTTATTTTTGGATTCTGGGTATCTCACTGACCTAGGCCTCACCAATTTTGCTACACTGGCTAGCCAGTAAGCCCACCTGTTCCTGCCTCCCCTGTTGGAGGCCTATCATGCCCAGCTTTCTTACAAGGATTCTGAGGATCAAATATAGGTCCTTACGTTTGTATGACAAGCACTTTACCAACTGAATTATCTCTCCAGCCCTTTGCTGTTATTTTTAAAGATTTACTTACTTATTTTAGGCATATGGGTATTTCATCTGCATAAGAGAAGAGGGCATCAGATCCCATGGGACGACAGTTATAGATAGTTGTGAGCTGCCATGTGGGTACTGGGAATTGAACTCAGGTCCTATGGAAGGGCCACCAGTGCTTTTAACTGCTGAGCCATCTCCCCAGTCCCTATTGTTTCTTGTGGTTTTTAGCTGCTATTTTTCAACTAAAGAATCTTACTTACTATCATGCAAAGTGGCATATCCTGTAGTCCCAGCACTTGGGTGGCAGAGGTACAAGGATCGCCTCAAGTTTGAGGCCAATCTGGTTTACTTAGTGAGTTCCAGGTTAGCCAGAGCTATGTAACAAAATCTTGTCTCCCAAAAATAAAATACAATGGTTTCACTATTAGCATCAGGTCTCATATTTTGATTTGACTTACTACTAGAGCAGACATGATAATAATTTTATCCCCTTTTATTTCAAACTACCCTAGAAGCAGTGTCCCCCCTGAAAAAACCTTACCTGACATCAAATTCTGACAATCCCATGTTAGAGTCTCATCACTCAACAGATCCACACAAACCCTCCACTGGACACTAAGCATGGGAAACACTCTCCAAACTTGGCTCTTCTTCTTTCTGTAAGCTACACCATAGACTACCCTTTTCAGTCTGGGTCCTTGTGTCTCCACAGCAAAATAAACCTCTGACAAAATGCAAGCCCATTCACAGGTTTCACCTGAGCATTTCACATTTCATTCCTGATGAGTACCAGTGGCAAGGAAAGGTAACAAAGGTACAGTGCCAACTTTTTACATGAAAACTAAACTACAAAAGGCTGATTTTTTTTTTCTCTAACAGCAAATACCAGTATCACAAGTGTTGATTACTCCAGTAATTCTGTCACATTGTTAAGGAAAATCAAAACAACAAAAAAAAACCCAGTTGACTATGACCCCATCTCCTCCCAAATCATTAACCCAAGATTGTCTTACCCTCTCTCTCTCTTCCTCCTGACGTCTTATTCCTTCTCCTTTCCAGGGCTCCTGAACTTTCTGGAAACAAATTCTCCAGGTTACAGAGGCCAGTAAGGTGAGGCCACCAAACAACTGTAGAGAACCTCAGAAGTTCTTTGACTGTCAGCAATCTGGAAAGCAGGCAGCTTCCCCAGCCAACAGTCCAAGGATGGAAGGGCAGAGTCACAGGCGTTCCGTGCCACTCACTACGTGGATATAAGGGAAATAAAACCAGTTCCCCAAAACTAAGATGAATTCTGTCACCAGCACTTGGGTTTCACTCCTAGACTCAGACACTTATTCTTCATTCCCCAGGGCTACAAGTAACCGGGAGTCAGAGAACAGAAGAGATGCAGGAGGGTCCCTGCTCCTGAGAAGTGGCTTTAGAAACCAAAGCTGAGGGTGGGGGGGATGCCCAAGCCCTTGTGTCAGGCACAGTGCCAAGTTCAGGCCCAGCCACTTCCTCTGGCCTCGGCCCCCCCACTCCACTTCTGTGAGGACTTCGCCCCCTGCCTACCCAAGGCCTTGTGCCAAGAAGTACCTCCTTCAACCTTCAGTGGTCTATATAGTGGAGACCCCCAGCTGTCCCCCCAAAACCTTCGCTCCCCTGAGACACCCAACTGGGTCCTTCTTCCCGATGTCAACTCCCACTCCTTCCTCAAAGACCGGTCTTTGGGACGTCCCTCCTTCACCCCTCCAGGGAGCTGAACTCTGCCACCCACCAGACAGGCACCCGCCCCCTAAACCCCCCCCATTCCTCCTCATCGCCCGCTCCTCCACAACCACTTCCGGTTCCGGGACAGACACACTTACAGTCCCATCGCGGACCACCCCCCCCCCCCACATCCCGCTCACCCAAGGAAAAGGGGAGGGGGAGGAGCAAAGAGCTTGGCGCGCGCCGACCGCAGCGGCGCGAGACTCACCCGGCGGCGGCGGCGGCGGCGGCGGCGGCGCCAGCGCCTGAGCCAGCGCGCAGCAGGGGCGGCGTTTGCAGGGACAGGAGGGAGCCGAGGGAGCGCGAGGGCCCGCGGGGCGCGGGGTGGGGAACGAGAGGCGGGCTGCGCGGGCATGCACTGCAGGCGCCAGACGGACCCCCGCACTCGCCGAGCTGCGCGCGAGACACCCGCAGGGCGGGGGCGCGAGGCAGTGTGTGGCCCCCCGCCCTCCTCCCTCCCGAACACTCACCCGGAAGTGGTGCTGCGGCTCGTGCTCCCGGGAACCCCAATTCCTCCACGCCCACCTTCCTCCCTCCCCCCCCCCAACAGCCTCAGTGAGGAGTCGTTTCACGGAGAAGGCGGGAGAGCCGGAAACGAAAAGGGGGGGGGGAGGGAGGGAAGTAGCGAAGGGAGGGCGGCAGCAGGAAAGGAGTGTGTGTGTGGGGGGGGAAGAGTTCAAAGACCGAGTCACTTCCGGGACCGGCCAGAACACATCCGGCGCTGCTAGGGCTCAGGGATACTGAGGGCAGAAGTTACGACAAGTAAGGGCGGAAGTGGCTCCTACCCAGGGACCTGTAGAGCGATCGGTTGATGTGACGCCTCAGCGGAAGTGAAGGCGGGTTCTGTTACGGGCTGAAGCTGAGCATCCGAAGAGCGCTCCCGGGCTTCCGGAAGAGACTTCTGGGGAAGTGGGAGCGTGGAAGCTGGACAGGTTCATGAATTATGCATCAAGGCATTAAAGACAGTGTAGGTTCTCCTCTCCTTTTCTAGATTTATTTTATTTTTGTTGATCTGCATATATCTGTGTAAGTGTGGGGGGGGGCCCTCAGCAGCCCACTGGAGTTACAGATAGCTTCGAGCTTCCCTGCCTGGGTGCTGAACCGAACCTCCGGTCTTCCGGAAGAGCAACAAGCACTCCTTATTGCTGAGCCATCCCTCAGCCCCATAGAGACGGTACGGATTCTTCAGACGGGTCACTTCTGAGTTCATTTCTAAGTGTAATACGCAGTTTTAGGGAATTAACCTTTTTCCTTGGATCTTCACGAATGTCTCTGGTGAGCTAGGGTGGGGAAAGTCTCATTGCTTTGAATAGTCGAGGAAAGGTAAGAATGGGCCCATAGTTGTTTGAGGTACCTGCGTTAAGTGCTATCAACATTCAACCGGTCTTCCTCTGACCACACCGATACTCTATCTTTGCTTTGGTCTTTTCTTGTTGCCTCCACCCACATCTCTCTCTTACCAGGTTTAACTTTTAAATACAACGCTCAGCGTACCTGATGTTGTTTACAGCTCACCTCCCAGCTCCATAAGGGCAAGGACTTTGAATTGCTCCCTGTGGTATCAACAGATCCCAGAACTTAAGCTGTTCAGTAAACGTTTGTTGCATAAATGAACAATTCATTATGAACCATTGCAGGAGATCTTCCCTGATTGCTCCAGCCCAAAGTTTCTTTTAAAATTTTATAACATTTACTGTGTGTCTTTGTCTTTTTTTTTTTTTTTTTTTTTTTTTTTCTCCCACAACAGGGTTTCTCTGTGTAGCCCTGGTTGTCCAGGCTGGTCTCGAACTCACAGAGATCCACCTGCCTCTTGCCTCCCAAGTGCTGGGATTAAAGGCTTGGGTTGCTACCGCCGGTTATGTCTTTGTCTTTGAAACAGGATCTTGGGGCTGGAGAGATGGCTCAGAGGTTAAGAGCACTCACTGGCTGCTCTTCCTAGAGGTCCTGAGTTCAATTCCCAGCAACCACATGGTGGTTCACAATCATCTGTAATGAGATCTCGTGCCCTTTTCTGGCCTGCAGGAAGAAGAGTGTATACATAATAAATAAATAAATCTTAAAAAAAAAAATGAAACAGGATCTTTCATACCTATAGTTAAAGCTGACCTTGAATCTTTGATCCACTTTTCTCCACCTAAGTGATGGGATTTCTTAGTCTATAGCTTTTACTGTTGATTTTAGTTAATCTGTATATCTGAATCTCTAGGCAGGGAAGAAATTGTTCACAGTAGATACTGAAATAATATGTGTTCAGTCACAGGTGCTGCCCTGTAGAGGGGATCAGCCTCCTTCTATCCTGTCTTGTACCTTCCCCGAGTTGCTAAATTACTGGCAAGTAACAGCCCCAAGGCAGGATGGGACAATGGGATGAACTTCCTAGATGCCTCCTTATATCCCATCTGCTTCCTTCACTAACCTACTAGGCTCTGAGCCCCCTACTCTCTCAAGTCTATAAATGAAGTGATTCCCTCTGTTCTGCAGGTCTGTGGTGGTCTCCTGTACCAGCTGCCTCGGCTTCAATTGGCTGGTGTGATTAAAGGATGTGATTACCAGAAATCCATCTCAGTACCAAACCCTGGGAAGATCTTAATATTTATTTATTTAGTAAATCTATATAGCCACAAGGGCAAACAGCATGATCTAGCTAGAATCTAGCTGAGCTCAGGTCTGTTTGGGCAAATGCAGAATTGAGTTTCCTCAGTGAGAAAGGAAAATTACTCTAACAAATAACTATGCTCTTATTCTCTAGATAATTAAAGAAAGACTGCCTAAGTGACTCTTCTCCCAAAAGTCACAGGCAGGAATAGCAAATGACACCTTTATATATTTGTTAGTTCATTTGAGGTAGGGTCTCACTGTGTAGCTTTGGCTTAGCCTGGGGTCAGGTCGACCCGGTAGTTTTGTCTACTTTTTGAGACGGACTCTCTTGTTGGCCAGGGACTCACTAGGATAACTTTGAACTCCCCATCCGCTGCCTCAGTCTCCCTCCTCAGTGCTGGGGTACAGACACGAGCCCCCACACTTTTTATTTGTTTGGGTTTGAGTGTGTGTGTGTGTGTGTGTGTAAGTGGAGGCCAGTGGTCGTTATCACGTGTTTGTCTTGGGCCCTGTGCTTTTTTTTTTTTTTTTCCTTTTGAGGTGGGGTCTCTTAACTGAACCTAAAGCTCACCAACTGACTACATCGACTGGTCGTCGGGCCCTAAGAGTCTTCCTGCCTCCCCAGTGCTGGAATTACAGATCTGAGCCATCAGACCCAGGTCCTCGTACTTACATCTCCCCAGCACTAGTTTGTTGTTTGGTGTTTTGAGATGGTCTCACAGAGCTCAGACTGATCTCAGACTTACCTCATAGCTAAGATGGCCTTGATCTCCTGATCACCCAAGCACTGGAATTACAGGGATAAGTTACCATGCAAAGTGTTTCTTTTTTATCACATTGTTGAGCCCCGCACTCAGTCTGTGTTGATTTCAGTGGCGAATTAGCAGGACCAGGGCTTACGTGCCTCAGTCATCATGTACCTGTAATCCCAGCATTCAAGTAGCTGTGGCAGGATTGGAGTTACAGGCAGGCCAGCCTGGGTTGCAAGGAGAAGGCTTTGCCTCCACAAGAGAAGGAGGTGAAAGAAAAAAGGAAGAAGGGAGGAGGGGAAAGGCATGCGGAGGTAAAATAGTGACCCCCAACAGTCCTGGTTCTCCAGCTCTGCCTCCTGTACACACTCATGCCCACTTCCCGAGCCTCCGAGCCTCTGGCAGCCCGCCCTCCTGCCTTTGCCGTGAGGAGCTACCTAAGTCCCCAGAACAAACCTTAGAGCATTAAGTGTGGGACATGGGCGGTGGGGGGAGGGCTGTTAATTTTAGCCTGGGGTTCTCCAGCTGGCACAGTTTCCGTCTTGAATTATTTCCACACCCTGAGCTCTGCTAGGAGATCCCTCCTCCTGGGGCCTTCTCCATCCCCTGCTTTGGTGTGTGCCACAACGGTGCCCAGGAAAACCTTGGCTGAGTCACTTCATGGACTCCCTCAACAGAGAGTTTGGTGATAGAAGATGACGCTTCCAGTCAGGCCTGTGGCATGTTGCCTTCAAGAAACTTCCAGAAGAGCAGCTTGTTTTCTTTCCCTCTATAACTCTATTACCCCAAAGCCTTCTGAGGACTCGAGGGTCCGAGTCACCCCTCGAGTTTTTGGAAAGAGGAAAATTAAGCTCTGTTCCCCAGAGCCTCATGCATTGTCATAGTTAGCACTGACCCCGGCCAGCACAACTCCCCTAGGCAATCCAGACATCCAGATTGCCTCCTTTCTCCCCATCTTTTAGCCATATGCCTTTCAATGGGGAAGAGAGCATTTAGGGAAAGGGAACAGGCGAGATTCCAGTATCTTTAATGGCCTGTTTAATTTATTTAAATTTAGGAGAACCGCAGTCTAATCAGACAGCAATTAATTCCTTCTTCATTAGGGGACTTCATGTGTGCCTTTTGCATATGGATGAGCCACAGGGTCACACTGTCCCTCTAAAGAGAGTTGTTGAAGGTGAGAGCAGGAAGCCCTCCCAACACGAGTTCCTTGCCCTTCTGCACCAAATGCTCTTTCCTTCCACTCTCCTCTGGCAAGGGCTCCAGCCCTGTGGGGAAAGCTGGAAAGGTTAAGGAGGCTTCCCTCTCCTTCCCCAGAGCCCTTCCCTAGCACAGCCTGTCAGCACCTCACCCTGCACCTTTGGTCTCCTCCGGCTCTCTCCCTTCTTTCCCATCCCTCTGGGTTCTCTGGGTGCAGTGTGGTGACAGCCCTCCCCAGGAGGCGTGATTACCTCAGACCTCTGCTGGTTGGTTCGTTACTCTGGCCCCCTTGCTGCTTTTCTCTGGAGCAGTCTGTCCTAAACACTACTGTTGTCTTGAGAAATACATTCCTTCCTCCCCATACTCATCATCATGTGCCTTAGGGGCTCAGCCACACCCCTCAATATACAGTGCAGCTCCTCAGCATCTAAAACATACATGCCAACACACACAGAGACATCCTATTTATATAAAACACATGGAGGCAGGTACAGTCCAGGCAGCCCACACTGCCCTCTTGGATACTATATTGTCTCCTACTTCCTGGGGCTACCCATTTCCAGGGAGCAGGTGAGGCATAGATTGGGGAGGGGGAGGATGAGCAAGACCTAGGTGGTTACCACAGCAACAGAACCTAGCAACAGCTGAGAAGCTGATGTGTGGGCTTTACTAGGGCTGTTAAAGAGCCAAACCTAGAATTGGGACCTCAGAGGTGACTGATCCCAGCTGGGCAGCCTGTGTTCCCTCCCCAGACACACCCCTTGATTCCGCCCCCACACCTCAGCAAATGCTTTTCTCAGAATGGAAAAGCTAATGAGCTAACCACAGGGCTTCTGGTGCAGCATAGCTTTTGGCGGGCAGTTGTGGGTAGGGAAATGTTAAGGAGCAAGGATGAAAATAAACCAAATAGAGCCTTCTCTCCCGTGACTCAACCTTTTTTCCCTCCATCTTTCTCTCCTTTGACCCTTTATCCTCTGTCCTAGCTGTCTTGCCCAGTGTGGTGATTCATGCCTGTAATCCCAGCACTCGGGAGGCCAAGGTGGGAGGATCTAGTATCAGCCAGCCTGGACTCAAGAGTGACCCTGTCTCCAATCAATTTGTCGCTTCTGGCTTGCCCATTGCCTGACCTAAGAAATGTCCCCCTTTTCTCTGTCCCTTTTCTCTTGGTCTCTCTTGATCCTCACTAAGAAGGAGCAAGCAAGTCACACACGTGATGCCAGTTCCTCCCTCCAGTCCGTCCCAAGTTCAGACGTCCATCAGCCTCCAGCTTCAGGTCAACAGGCCAGGTGACAGTGTAGTCTGGAGAAGTTCCCCATCTCCCTTTGTTTACCATCCTTCCTGCCTGCCAGTCCTGTGTGTGTGTGTGTGTGTGTGTGTGTGTGTGTGTGTGTGTGTGTGTGTTATAAGGCAAAACGGGACTTCATTATCTTGCAAAGGCTTTATTTGAAAATTTTGAAACTTACATCCCACAAGATTATCACCACGAGAAGAAAGAGATAATACAAAAATATATATCACAGCATAGGAGCCAGGTCGGAGGAAGGAGGGAAGTGGAAGAAACAACGAGAAAGGGAAGAACCTGAGGAGAGGAAAAGGGGGAGAGGCAGGAGAGGGAAGAGGGGACATGAGGGGACCCAGGAAGAGAAGGGTGGGTGTGGAGGCAGAGCTCTCAATGGCCTTGAACCAGCTGGCTTCAGTCCCTGGCAGCCTAGGTACAGTTAGGGAGGCCTTAGGGAAGAGCGGGGAGCGGAGGACCTGTTCAGGGGGCTCTGAAGTCCATAGAGACACACACAGACAGACAGCCAGGACAGACAAGACAAGGGACTTGGGAAGGAAGGGAGGACATGGGAGTCCCTTCTCATGTGCAGCAGGTGACTCCCCCAAACCCATATTTCAGATGACAGAATTTAGCAGTTGGGTCTCACAACCCCCGTTCCTGTCGGGGAGCCCTCAGAGTAGTGGCAGTGCCCTTGGGATGGAAGGACAGTGAAACGTAAGGCATGGAATGAGATGGGGCTGTGACAGACGGCACGAGGAGCCCCTAGCTCGCCTCCCACCACCTCTAGGGCAGCATGCAAGGGCCACAGAAACTAGACCAGTGGATGTTGATGAGGCAGAGTGAGCACTATGCCATGTATTGGGCCAGAAATGCACATCCCCGGTCTGAGATGGGCGCAGAGAATGCAAAGGGGGTACAACATGTGTCACAAGAGGGGGAGAGCTAGGAGCCAGCTGAGCAGATGTGGACGGGGACACGAAGCAGAAGAGCAGCATGGAGAGCGTGACTGTGTGCTATGGCCTGTGAGGGTGGAGGTGAGTGTGCAAGGCTTTCATGTGAATGTGCAAGGGTGGGAATGGGGGAGCCCCCAAACACTGGAGGGCAAACAGTTGGGCTTGCCCATGGGGTCAGTGAGTGTTCCAGGTGGTGTGCAAGGGCAGGAGCTGGGAGCCCCCCACCATGGTCCCAGTTCCCCACGGTTGCCCCCCCCTCAGTGGATGGTGGCTATGCCGGCCACTTGGCCTCCTGCTTGGCAGCACCCCAACATGGGGGGGGCATCACAGATTCACCAGGGGAATCCTGAGAGGAAGAGGGAAAGTGCATAGTCAGGAACCAAGGAGTAGGCTGAAGCAGAAGGAGAAGTCCAAGACAAAGGGTACTCAGGGTTGAGAGGGCAGAGCTTGACTTAAAGGGTGGCAGGGGAGTAGGACATGGCGGGGAGGGGCAGAAAGTCCCCTTCTCCCGGGAGAGAATCTGACAGCCCCCTTGAGAGGCCCGGGAACCAGGTCAGGAAGGAGAGTCATGGACTGCAGTAGGGAAGACCACCCACCCCGGAAAGACCCACTGAAGGTCTGGAGACCTCAGTTGCCTTCCCTCCTCACCCTCCCATCCCATTGGCCCCTGCCCTCACCGGTTCAACTGGAAGGCTGGAGCCCCCTTGGGCTGGGGCATCCCAGGCCGGGGTCCCCCTCGGGGCTCCTCATGGTCAGGGGTGGGGGTAGGTGAGTCCCCGAAGGCCCCCAGCACAGTGACTCCAGCAGGGGACAGGTCTGTCAATGGTTGCTGGCTCTCCTCCTGCCTCAGGGCACCTTGCTGCCCTGAGGGCCTCCGCCGCTTCTGGCTGCGGTCCCAGCTTGAGCATCAGAAGGAAAGAGGTCTTTCACACACTTGAGTACCCTCTATTTTAGGCCAGCACCACTGGTCACCAGCTTCTCCCTCCCTCCCTCCCTCCCTGGCACCTCCAACTTCTCCACAGTACCGAAACTGTCCTCTGAGACCATGCACCCATCAAGCTACTCCTTCTGCTTCCCTCTAAACGATCTTCCGATAGCCACAGGCTTAGTGCTCCTCCCCACCAATACAAAGCCCCTGAAAACTGCCACACTGATGCCCAGAGGAGCAATTCCTCTCCTCCGCAGGTACCTGGCAGATTTAGTTCAAGTTCAAAGTCAGCTAATGACTTGGGCACCTGAGTCTAATGATTCTCTCAGTAAAGTGTGAAGGACTATGTGACCCACTATTAAATATGTACAAAGAAAGTTCCCGATTTCCTTCCTCCTGGACAGAAGCCCTCAGAAAGGGTTCTGCAGCCTGGTTCAGCTGTCTCCATCTTGGAGAGCTGCCCACCAAAGTCCCTGGTATAGATAAATAACCCCCTCCCTCCCACTACCCTTGTATTTTTTCTGGAGGAATCGGCACTGGTTTCTCTCAGTCCTCCTCCACTCCAATTAGTTTTTTTTTCAAGCTCTTCCCTTCATCCGTGATTTCCTCCTCCAGTGAAACTGCTGTCCTTGATCTTACCCTCTGTCTAGCCTTTACAAGCCTTCAGACATCCCTCTCCCCCAGCTTACCAAAACTTGAAGATGATGCCTGTAGCCACAAGGACGATGATGATGGATATGGTAATTGTCACGTAAAGCTGAGGGTCCACACCTGATAAGGATGGAAGACGGCGTTGGGAGGCCTGAGGCAGGCTCAGAGGAGGGCGTGACTGAGTGCCGCCGAGCCAGTGCACACTGCCTGCCTACTTCTCTGGACTCTCCCTCGTCTTTTTTTTTAATCACCAACTTTCTCCTGAGCTGTCAGCTCTTCTACTTTCCCAAACATTACATGTACCAAATCTTACACATACATGTGATGAGGATGAGGCTCCAAGGTCAGACAGAACTATCCTCCTGTATAGAAATGGGGGTAGAGGTATCAGACGATCTTCCCTGGCCCAACCCTAAGCCACCATCCAGCACAATACGTGCTAACACACTGCCTGGTAGTGACCTTCTTCCAGGGCACCCCTCTACCTGGAATACCCCATTCTGTTTTTAAGGTCTATCTCACATGTAAGTTGTTTGATCTGTTCTTATCCCCGGGGTGAAACTGTCTCTCACGTCTCTGTTTTCCTAACAACGTGCTGTAAGTGCTTCTTTTAGGGTGTTTATTATGTTGACTCATCCCCACATGTTTACACATCTGTCTTCAACAGTGGACCTGAACTCCTTCAGAGTGCAGGTAGCATCCCCACCTCTGCATCCTTGCCAGCCTAGAACCTCGTGCATTGACTGAAGACACAGATAAGGACTCAGTTTCGGCAGTTCAGAGTCTTCAACCACCCTCCCCATCCCTCACATCCCTACCAGCCTTGCTCACTCACCTTCCCCACGCCCTCCAAACAGGAAGGGCCTCAAGGTAGCAGGTGTTTCCCCAAGGATGAGGCCATCTCCATCATCCCGCATGGAGTCTGAGTTGGGGTGCGGGGTAGCCAGCCCATGTGGGGCTGCAAAACCATAGTCCAGGGGCAGAAATCCAGGGTTGACCGAGTTGGGGTCCCCTCCATCCTCCCGAGATACTGTGGGACCCCACACAATAGCCCAGGGGTACTGAGATGAGGGAGGCCCCTCCTCAAAGCCTGATGGGGTGGCAGGAGGTGCAGTGCCTGGCGGAGCTTGCCGACGTGATCTCGGGACCCTTGGGGACCGGCTTGGTGGAGGAGCCCGCTCCCAAACACACACATGGCGCGGGGCCGAGGGGCCACCCCGGACGCAGGGGGGACGGGCTGGGGCTGGTGGGGATCGAGGGGAGGAGCCCTGAACAGGCGGAGGGAGGGGTAACAACAGCAGTGGCCAGAGAGGGAAGAGCTGGGACAGCAGCAGAGCAGGCCTATAGGAAGGGAGAAAAAGCAGGTGAGGTCCAGGCCACGGTGGGCTCGTGTGTAAGAAGGGTAAGCTCACACCAGAAATCTTGGGTCCCTCCCTCCAGGTTTCTCTGCCAGAGCAGGTATGTGTTAGGAAGACCCTGGCTTCCTTTTGTCTCTTCCTAGGGGGCCAGTCCTCCAGAGGCCCTGAGCTGACCTAGGCAGAGAAAGGGCCCAATCCCCCAGGGAAAGTGGTCTCCAAGCTCCCTCTGCTGGGCCAAACTTACCACATTCTGCACTCCGTATCTGAGGTCTTCCTCAGCTGTGACCCAGATTTTCGGCCTTTACTGGAGGAAAAATGAGGGTGTCACAGTCGAACCTGCCCTGTGTGCTCCCCAGCTCATCCATCCACCAATTCTGCCCCTTCATGCCCCGCCCCCCGCCCCCCACGGCACAGTTACCAGCCGCGCTGCTGCTTCCCAGCATCCACTGCTTTGTAGCATCCTTTTAGGGGAAAACTCCCTAAAGTAGCCCCCCGTCCCACCTACAGCATCCCAGATGGGTTCCTGTTACCTCCTGGCCCCAATGTCTGTCTACTCTTGCCTCTTTGGCTTCCTTCCGTCTCACTTCCTCTGCCCACAGCTTCAGGCTTCTTGGATCTTAATTTAGAGCCAAGAACCTTGTGATTCCCTGAGCACCTACCGCTAGGGAGGGAGTTTGAGAGTGGGGGAGGGAAGGGGAAGTCAATCTTAGTGCGTGTTGGGGGGTGGAGGGGCTCTAGAAGCCCCCTCACCTCTTGTAGGGCCAGGCACTTCTCTTGCGACAAAACCCAGAAGCTAGCTGCCTCTTTGGAAAAATGGGGGAAAATGGTAGGTGGGGGAGAAACTCCAGAACATGATCTCTGTGCTGGATGTCTAACCATCCAAATGCACCTTCTGAAAGAAGGTGGAGCTCCAAGGAAGCCACCCCCTCAACTGTGGCTCTTCTGGGCAAAGTCCTAGGAGAGTCTGGATGGTTAGTTCCGAAAGGAAGTGCACAGTCTCCAAGCTGAGGGTGGTGAATCCCAGGGGCTTAGGGTCTCCAGAGAGGAGCATGTGACACCCTGTGTCTACTGGATTCCTAGTCTCTATGTGCATGTTGAACACTACCAGAGAATCCGCCGGGGGAGGGAATGGGGTGATGGACAAAGGTGTGACGGGTGTGAAGGGCTGAAAGGGAAAAGCTTGGTCAAGAGTAGAAAGAAAGGTGAACAGCAGCTGGGAAGAGATGGCGAGGGAAGAGGGGCTGCAGAAGAGTCAGAGGACGCTGAAGGGAGAAGAGGACGGGGAGGAGAAAGTGAGCGAATCGGCAGGGGGGAGGGGGAGGGGGGTCTGGTCAGGACAGAAGCAAAGGGAGAGGGAAAAGAAGCGATGGAGATCGGAGATGAGGGGGAAGTCATTGAGACAGAAAAGAACATGGAGTTGAAGGCAAAATCAGAAAAGGAAGGGACGGGAACGGGGTGGGGGGAGGAACAGCAAAGATGGAGGAGTTAGGAATTGTTTCTTGAAATTTAAAGGGATATGGAGACAGAGCTGGAGGCCAGGTGAAAGCGAAGGGAAAGGAAAGAGATAGGCCTGGGGACTCGGTGAGAGAAGGTTAGAGAAGGGAGGGAAGAAATGGTAGATGAACCAGTGAGCGGATGAGGGCCCAGAGACACCAGTGGTCCGCTGACAACAGGACCCACCTGCCCCTGTCTGCTACATCCCCCGCCGCCAACGTCAACTCCAGCCCCTTCACACACACACACCCCGTACCCCTTGGTCACCCCCTCCAGGAAGTCCGCAGTCCCCGAGCTGGTGCGCCACCCCACCCGCTTCGCGCTGCTCACCGACCTGTTGTGCGCAGAAGACGAACTGGGGGTGGGGTGGGGGAACAGGGCCCCATCCCTAGCAGAGCCCCCAAGCCCGCCAGTCCCACAGGCCTGCACTCCCTCCACAGGGCTGGAAAGCGGCGCGAACCAGGAAAAGATCAGCCATGGGATTCGGAGGGAGCACCCAGAGCGGAAAGGGGACCTGAGGCAGGAGGATGCTCGAAGCTGCAGGATGAGCTAAAGGCGGGATGGAGGCAGCCGCGGAGACGCTGACTGCTGCACCAGGAGGTTGGGATGAAGTCGGGACAGCGGAGGGACGCAGGGCACGGTGGAAAGAAGCTCTTGGCGGCTGGAGCCCGACAAGGGACCAGACCAGGAGGGGCGGGAGGCGAAGGGCGCGGGGCTGGCACTGGGGAGGGCAGGGCCCGCTCCCTCTGGGTGGGGGCGTTAGGTCCCCCCCCTCGCTCACCTGCATGCCTGGCGTAACGGCGCGACGACTGCAGGCGCTCGGAGCTGCGCGGGGCTGGGGGGTCGCAGAAGCGGGTGGGGCACCGGGCATGGTCGGGAGGTTTGCCTGGCAGCGAGGCGCTGGAGCCGGAGGGGGGCGGGCGCCGGGGGCGCGGGGCGGCGGCGACGGCGGGAGATGCTCGCTTCGGCTGGGCTCGGCTGGGCTCGGCCGGGCTCGGCTGGGTTCGGCGGGCGACTAGGACCACTTGGTCTCCGCCTCTCCTCTTCGCGTCTGAAGGCCACGCACGGTTTAACCCGTCGCTTGCCACACTGCGAGCTCAGCTTTTGTCCCAGGTGCAGGCAAGGTTGAGGAGGGCAGCAAGGATGGGAGGCGGAGACCCCCAGTTCTTCGGGTTATGATGGCACGCTCCCCCTCTGCCTTAGCGTAGCTCGACACCCGATGATTTCTGACACACACACACACACACACACACACACCCCGCAAGCAGTTCTGAAATTCTGAGTCACCCATACATTTGAGTTCCCAACTCTGGCCAGGGTGGAAAGGGATGGGAGTTCAAGACCATGGATGAGAGGACCAGGGAGGGGTAGGAGAGAAAATTGCATACACAAATTAGAGTGCCCCCAAAGCTTAATTCCCTGTTTCATTTCGGCCCTGCTATATAATTCCTTCTCTCTGAAGCAACCCAAACAGTCCTTAAGTGGCTCGAGACCCATGTACTGTCCTTAGCTTTTCCAAGGATATCAAAATATCCAAACCACTTACTGCGGCTTACAAGGAAGCCCTGCAGGTTCCCATCTCTAGGTATGTCCGATTTTCTTTCCTAGGGATTTCTGTGTCTCGGCTACAGTGCAGCTGACATATGTTCCTAGGAGGCAATTGGAGCCCGCCTCAGGGCTTTGCACCTGCTATTCCCTCTAGAAGCTTTTCCCTGGCCATTCACAGATGGCCCCTAGCGGTCTCACTTCCATCCAGCCTTTTGAGAGGCCTTCCCAGACCTCTTAAAACTCTCCTAACCGGGCCGGGCGGTGGTGGCCCACGCCTTTAATCCCAGCACTTGGGAGGCAGAAGCAGGCGAATCTTTGTGAGTTCGAGGCCAGCGTGGTCTAGAGAGCGAGATCCAGGAAAGGCGCAAAGCTGCACAGAGAAACCCTGTCTCGAAAAACCTAAAAAAAAATCCTAACCGCCGAGCAGTGGTGGCACACGCCTGTAATCCCAGCACTCGGGAGGCAGAGGAAGGTGGATCTCTGTGAGTTCGAGACCAGCCTGGTCTACAGAGCTAGTCCGGGACAGGCTCCAAAGCTGCAGAGAAACCCTGTCTCGAAAAACCAAAAAAAAAAAGAAAAAAAAAGAAGAAAAAAAAGAGAGAGAGAGAAAACTCTCCTAACCGAGGCCATGGAGGTGACTCAGGGGGCAAAGGTGATTGCCACCAAGCCTGACTACCTGAGTTCTATCCCCAGGCCCCACAGGGTGGAAGGAAGACTCAAGTTGACATCAGACCTCTGAGCAAGACTGTGAGACACACACACTAAAGAAAAGTAATTAAAAAATTCCCGAGTCAGGCGGCGGTGGCGCACGCCTTTAATCCCAGCGCTCGGGAGGCAGAGGCAGGCGGATCTCTGTGAGTTCGAGGCCAGCCTGGGCTACAGAGTGAGTTCCAGGACAGGCGCAAAGCTACTTCCACCCACTCATCCTTCTCCCTAAATCACTCCCCCACCCCACCCCACCCCCACCAAGCTTCTAGAAAAGCACACTCTCCTGTTTCCCTCCAACGGCCTTCTCTTCCCCTTTGTCCAGTGATCTCATCCAGTCCCAGGGCTTAAATACTCTGTAATGTCAGTGAGTCCTAAATTTATTTCCATAGCGCCAGACTCATGTGTCCAGCCGCCCACTTGACATAGCCTCTCCGATGTCTAATAGCCGTGCAAACCAAATGTGACTCAGATAGATGTTTGGAACTATCCCACCCCCAATTCACTTCCGTCCAGGGCTCTTCATCCTGAGACAGGACAACTCCTTGTTGTTGTTCAAGCCAAAAAATGTTTTGATTTTCCAGTTCCTTCCCTGAATCTGCATCATCAGCAAGCGCCACAGCCTCCACTATCAGCAGATGCCCCGTGCCCACCCTGTTAGACAGATCTAACATCTTTCCTGTTAGAGTCCTGATCCAAGCTGCCATCTCACATCTGGAATCACAGGAGCTCCTTAGATGCCCCTTCATTTCTGTGCTCATCTTTCACAAAATGTTCTTTGCAGTTACCAATAATATTTTAAAACCTAAAAGCTCTTCCCTTTTAAAATATTCAAGGGCTGGTGAGATGGCTCAGCAGGTAACCAAGCCTAACTTGATACTCAAGACCCACAGGGTGGAGGGAGAGAACCAACTCCCACAAAGCTGTCCCCTGACCACCATGTTCCAGCATGCATGCGCACGCACACTCAATGTACATGCATACACTGAGTAAGTACAATGTAAAAGCCACCAGTGTGTACTCCCTCACACACGATGCTTCTGTCACATCAGACTTCCTGCTGTTGCAGAGCAGCAGAAGCCAGTCCCTCAGAATCCCTGTACTTGGAGTCCCTCTCCCACCAATGCCTCACTACTGTCTCTCTGTTTCTACCTAGTTGGCTCTTTCTTGACTTTCTGATCTCTGCCGCAAACCTAAAGGGGTCTCCACTGTGTCCTCATTTCATCAAGGTTCCCGAGTCATCACTTTCTGGCCCGATTTCATACGTGTTTGCTGTTTGCTGTCTTCCCACATACACTTGAGAGCAAACATCTCATTCGTCATCTTCACCCTACATCCTGACCGCAGTGCTCTGTCACACGGGAAACCCTCCATCTTCATTGCTTGGTGAACAGGATCCGGGACCAAGCCCTGCCCGCTCTGGACGCTTTTCACTCTCCCCTTGCTATGGCCCTGTTTTTCCTCTCCGTCTCCTGCCACGGTTGAGTCTCTGCTCTCATACACACCCCTCCTGGTCAGCCTCCTCCTTCTGTCCTTAGCACTGTCATTACCCTGGCACTCCGGCCTCTAGGAAGGAAGCCTGCTGTTGAGACAGCCTTTCATTCCAAGTCGAAACAGCAGTGAGTCATGAGATGCCCTCGCGGTGTCTCCCAGTGGCACATCCGATGAAAACAGAGCTATGGGGCCATGTGAGGGAGCTCGCACAGTTCCTGCCACCTCCTAGGCTCCCTAGGAGAGGCTCTAGGGCACTCACTGTAACCTGGTGAGGACTGCATTTATCAAATGAATGCTCATTCACTATGATGCCTTGCACACGAAGCCTTGCATCGTGATCAATTATTTTTAATATTTTTTATTCCTTTCAACAAATGTTTGTTTATGTGAGACAGAGTCTTATATAGTCTGGCCTGGCCTTGAATTCACTATGTAGCTGAGGATAACCTTGAACTCCTGACCTCCTGTCTTCATTTCCTTAAGTGTTGGGGATTATGGAAATACAGTACCACACCCAGACAGCAGCAAATATTTTTTTTTTACATAACCACAAGCTGGGTAGAGCACTGGACCAGGGCATCCAGTGAAGAGTAAGAACAAAGTCACCACAGTCTTTGTGAAGCTTACAATTTGGTAAGGGAGACAAGAGCTATCATGTGATAGGCTCGGGGTATGAGTCATTGGTGGAGCACGTGCTTAGCATGTGCAAGGCTCTGGTATATATTACTGTTTCTGTACTCAGATAGTGTTCCCAGTATTTGTTTGGGTGAATTTCTTTCCCCAGGCTGGCTTTGAACTTGCAATCCTCCAATCCCAGCATCCTGAGTACCAGTATTATAGGAATGCATCACCATGGCCAGTCAAATTTCCACGTTTTCCGTTTTTTTTTTTGTTGTTTTTTTTTGGTTTTTTTGTTTTTTTTTTTTTTGGTTTTTTGAGACAGGGTTTCTCTGTGTAGCTTTGCGCCTTTCCTGAAACTCACTTTGTAGACCAGGCTGGCCTTGAACTCACAGAGATCCGCCTGGCTCTGCCTCCTGCCATGTTTTCCTTTTTAAGAAAATTTTGTATATGTGCCTGTGCCCTAGTGCATGTGTGGAGGTCAGAGGTCAACTTACAGAGTGGTGTCTCTCCATTAAGTGGGTCCCAGGGATCAAACTTAGGTCATCAGGCTTGGTGGCAGGTACCTTTACCCACTGAACCACCTAGCTGGCTCCACGTTTCCACGCTTCCTTGCCTCAAAAAATACCCAGTGTCTCTCTCTCTCAGATGATGATCTTGCTGCTTTATTACAAAAACAGAAGCCAGACGGTGGTGGCGCACACCTTTAATCCCAGCACTCGGGAGGCAGAGGCAGGAGGATCTCGGTGAGTTCGAAGCCAGCCTGGTCTACAGAGTGAGTTCCAGGACAACCAGAGTTACA